TTTGCTGACAATAACATGTTTGTTGATGTGCTTGATTGAGACAATATACAGTGTACTCTGGATGGAAAATCCCATTTTGTAGGCTGTAATGATGTACAGTGAATGAACGTAAACAATATTATATATATATATATATATAATATATATATATATAATCAACCGTGTAAAATATGTGTGTATGTTAACTATAGAATATCTTGTGAAAATAATCACTAGAAACTGATAACACTAGTTGCCTTTGAAGATTTATTCACTGTAGCAACCTGTTGTTTTTAATGCTGTAGAACACACATGTGTTACTTATTCAAAACACATATGTTTTAAACTAATCAGAAACAAAACATTGAGGACCAAGGGCATCTTCCTAATGGACCAAAGATACAATCTTGCTCAACAAAGGTTTAAGGACTGCTCATCACGTGCCCAGGCACTGTGATGGGAGCTAGTACGTAAGATGTCCCAATGACAAGCAGCGCCATCCCTTGTCCCCAAGCCCCTACTGCGGGGCGGGGTATAGGGTGGACCAAGAGGAGCCCAGGGCAGAGCTCGCGAGGTTCCCAGTTGCGCAAGGACTGCAGCGGGGACCAACCGTCTTAACGGTCCAGGGACCCAGACGGTGTCTGGAATTCAATCTTTCAAAGCAAACTGCCACCTGAAGAAACCCACCTCTTGCTCCCACAGAAACAGTTCCCTGGCTGGGTCCTTCGCGCCCATTGCCTGGACCGGAATCCCTCCATCCTCAGGGAGGGGCGGGTCCTGGACTCCCGCCCTCCACACCCCGCGGCTCCCTTACCACGTCGGGGCTTGTCTCCGTCTCTCCCGCCGCCGTTCGCTGTTCGGTCCACAGTGTGTGTGCATGGCTCGGCTGAGGAATCCTGAGTGGTCCTCCTCTCTTCCGTGCAGAGCCTTCCCTTGATCTTGCCATCTATTTCATGATTTTTCTATATATATATATATATATATATTTTTTTCCACGTCTTCTGAGTTCAACACAATATGGGGGACTAATGATGGCAAAAGATGGCAAGAGAAATAGCGGAGCATAGCCCATCAAGAGGCTCTCTCTCAATGGTCCCTGGGCTGTGCAGGGGCACTGCTCTGGACAGACGCGCCAATGTTGTGAGAATCAAGACACGCACGAGTGCTTCAACCCCCTCGCACCTTGGACCCAGCCTCTGGAGCTCGGAGTTTTCCCCAAGGTTTAGGAGGTGGATGCCTTCTCCGCAATTGGTACAGAGGTGGGCTGGGAGGGCTCCGTGAAGCTTCTAATTGGCTGATTAATTCTCAGCAGGTGCAATCACAATTAACAACATCTGCCCTTCTGGAATCTTATTGGCTGTAGGGTGGGCCGGCTTCGGAGTTCATCCGGGTAATTGGGCATCCGCACGCGGCTGCTGAGTCGTTCAGGAGCAGCCCGCGGAAGGATTGGTTGTGGCGGGAGTAAGCGATTGGTAGAACTGCGAGTCGGGCGTTGATTGGTACAGGCGGACTGTGGGGGCGGGG